AAGGAAGGAGGGAAGGAAGGGAGGAAGGAAGGAAGGAAAGAAGGAAGGAAGGAAGGAAGGAAGGAAGGAAGGAAGGAAGGAAGGAAGGAAGGAAGGGAGAGAGGGAGGGAGGAAGGAAGGAAGGAAGGAAGGAAGGAAGGGAGGAGGGAGGAAGGAAGGAGGGAAGGGAGGAAGGAAGGAAGGAAGGAAGGGAGGGAGGGAGGAAGGAAGGAAGGAAGGAAGGAAGGAAGGAAGGAAGGAAGGAAGGGAGGGAGGCAGGGAGGGAGGGAGGGAGGGAGGAAGGAAGGAAGGAAGGGAGGGAGGAAGGAAGGAGGGAGGAAGGAAGGAGGGAAGGGAGGAAGGAAGGAAGGAAGGGAGGGAGGAAGGAAGGAGGGAAGGAAGGAAGGGAGTGAGGGAGGAAGGGAGGGAGGGAGGGAGGAGGGAAGGGAGGAAGGGAGGGAGGAGGAAGGGAGGGAGGGAGGGAGGGAGGAAGGGAGGGAGGGAGGGAGGAGGGAAGGGAGGGAGGGAGGGAGGGAGGAGGGAAGGGAGGGAGGGAGGGAGGGAGGGAGGAAGGGAGGGAGGGAGGGAGGGAGGGAGGGAGGAAGGGAGGGAGGGAGGAGGGAAGGGAGGGAGGAGGGAAGGGAGGGAGGAAGGGAGGGAGGGAGGGAGGAGGGAAGGGAGGGAGGAGGGAAGGGAGGGAGGAAGGGAGGGAGGGAGGGAGGGAGGGAGGGAGGGAGGAAGGAAGGGAGGGAGGGAGGGAGGAAGGGAGGGAGGGAGGGAGGAGGGAAGGGAGGAAGGAAGGGAGGGAGGGAGGGAGGAGGGAGGAAGGAAGGGAGGGAGGGAGGGAAGAAGGAAGGGAGGGAGGGAGGGAGGGAGGGAGGGAGGAAGGAAGGGAGGGAGGGAGGAAGGGAGGGAGGGAGGAAGGAAGGGAGGGAGGGAGGAAGGAAGGAAGGAAACCCCTGTTACAGACTAATGGAAAAAACCAGGCGGCCCGCAGAGTACAGCTGCGCTCTCACGATTCCAGCTTACAGGAAGCACTTCTGCCCTGCTGAGTGTTTGGGAGCCTGGAAATGTGTGGATGCAGAAGCGTGTGCCCTTCACTCTTCCCTCCAGCCCGTCTGCTCAGCATGGCCCAGGGAGTGGGACCGGGGTCCCTGCGGCCGTCTTCGTCGGTCAGCACCCCTGGGTCCGTCCCCCCCCCCCCCCCCCCCCGCCGCCGGCTGCGCTGGGGCAGGGAGCGGGTCATCCGAGGCCCTTGGCTCCCCACCTGGGCCCAGGTAGATGGAGCCCCGGGGGCCTGAGCGCGGTGGTGCAGAAGGGGGCTGTGGCCGCCCCGTCTGGATGTGCTCGGAGTAGAAAATTCACAAATTCCAAGCTCGGCTCCCAAAGCAAACCTCCCCGGCGCAGGTGGCTGCGCCCTGTCCTCCCTGACAGCGACAGCTCCGCGGGGCCGCCAAGCGGGAGGCTTTGAAAACCGGCTTGGGTTTGGCTTGTGAAAGCACCAATGTTTGCCGTGTTTGCCCAGCAGAGAAGGAGCATATTTTCTCCCTTCCAAATGCAAACTCGAAAGATGCTCCACGGTTTTTCTTCAGACTTTCCACAGGAAACATAAATAAGGGAAGAAAAATGACCGTAGGCGCGGAGACCGCCGTGGAATGCCAGCCCCGAGGGCGAAAGCGCCGCTGGGACAGGCGCCCTCTGTCCTTCGGTGACGCCCTCCAGAGCCCGGGCGCGCTCCTGTCCTCCGAGCAGAGCAGCCCCCTTCCAGGCCGAGGCCCAGGGAGCCACGGGACCAGTTCTCAGGCCTGACGCCCCGCCGGTCCTCGGTCCTCGGCCGGGCCCACGGGTGGCGGGGGCCGGGCCGGGCGGCCGGGGAGAACCTTTCGCGGCCTGGCTGGCCGGCTTCTGTCCCGCTTGTGTCCACGCAGACAAACGCGGTGCGCCAAGCCCAGGGGCCCGGCCGCGCTGTGAGGCAGATGCTGAATCGGAGCGGGAGGTGTGGACACGGCTTCCCGGGAGCCTGAGGCCCCCCGGTCGGCCGGCCCTCCCTGTCTTAGGCTCCATCTTGCGGGAAGGACATCCCATCCCTGGTCTGTGGGCTCTGCCCTCAGGGAGCTTATAATCTGTTCGCAAACAAAAAATAAGAGCGGCCCTAAGGCAGTGTTCGAGAGCACACTGTTAAAATAAAACGTAGAGACCAATCTTGAACATTCCCTAAGCAGACGGAACCAGTTTACTGATGCGAGCAGAGCTGAATGCAGCTTATTTTGCAGAACCCAACTTGACTTGAATTTCTTGCTTGTGCCTCTGGAACCTCTGGAAATCCTAGGCAAAGAACTGTCTTCCCAAGGCTGATAGGAGGTAAGCGCTGACCAATTCCCTATCTTAAGAAAACTCTGATATCGTAAGAAAAAAAAGAAAATTCTAATATTGTAGCCAATCACCGTGAAGAATAAGTCCCTGCTTTCTCGCTCTATATGCTGCTTTATAACAATATATCCCAGAGCCTCACTCCACACTTTGGTTCTATCATTTCCGGCTCGCCAACTGTCTTTTTGGTGCGTGCACAGTAAATGTTCACTAAATACTACTTTGGTGATCCCTTGGTTTTACTTCTGCTATTTCTGAACTTCCAGCAACACACATATGCATTGACTGACCCAGGGTTTGAATAATCTTAATGGACTTTTTTTGTGCACAGAGGAGCAGAGTAACTCTTTTTCATGGGTTATAAATACCAGCTGACTGCTTCCGTGTTGGGAGTCTGTGAAAATTGGGTATTTCCAGATCAGCTGGGCCCGACAAGAAATGGAGGACTGACGTCAGTTTAGCCAGTCCTGCGGAAGTTAATGCAACACGCTGATTGATTCATTATAAGCTGCGGTGGCTTGAGTGTTTGTTTGGGCCAAAGCTGGAATACTTCAAGGCCGCCATTTCTGTCTCTTGACATCGTGAAATATTTTCCTGTCCTTTAACTTTCTCTCTTTGGATAAACCCAACAAGCCCATTGTGCATCTACAATTAAAAAAAAAAGACGTAATATCAATTCCTAGAGCCCTGTGATAAGTCAACTAAACAAAGCAAGGACACCACTGGAAGATGCTTCTGAGATCACGCTTCCAACCAGAGTTAGAACTTGGCTTTGATGTACCAAATGCAGAGAAAGACCACAGAAACCATTTCTATTTCAGCTGAGGTTTATTTATTCTGTTCATCTGAAGCTAGAGCCAATAAGCTAAATAATTTTCGACGGCTAAAAAGGTTTCCCAGATGAGAATAATCGGTCCCATCTCAGAAAGGCCAACCGAGCTGCAGCCCGGCGTGCTGGACTCCTGAGCGGAGCCAGTTCCGAGAGGGGTTTCCCTCGCAATGTTTCCAAGAGCAGAGGCCCCCGCTGAGACTGCTCTGAGAAGAGACGCAGGGCAGGAAAGGAAAGGCGGTGTGCTGACGAGGCCAAGGAGGTGTGGTGCAGTAGAAGCTGTCGGGGTGCAGGTGGTGCAGAGCGTGGGCTCTGGGGTCACACGGATCTGGGTCCGAAGGGCTACCCGGGCTCTGCCATCCAACAGCTGTGCAACGTGATGCACTGACATGTTTCCTGACCTATGAAAGTGGCACAATACTATAGCACCTGCTTATAAAGTGATGGTGAGGATGAGATAAGACAAAATGTGGAAAAGAACTCACGGGCAGCTCTCAGCCAATGGAAGCCATTCCAATCACGCAAACAGGAAGAACGAGGGGACAAGTCGGGGCTGGCAAGAGGGACACAGTGGGAGGGGTGCCAAAGCCTGACACTGGAGACTGCAGCCCCACCCCCCCACCCCCGCCCCCAGCCCCGTCTCCAGCCACCTGGGATAGCACAGCTCCCAGTCCAGACAGGCGGCACACGTGTTTATTGAGAAACCATCCACAACAGTTATTGGAAACTTTACATTTGCAGCCTGGTCTCTGCACACCGCCTAGCTGCCGTGGCTCGCAACAAGGCCTCATTCACTTCCCCAGGCAGCTCCCCCACTGCCCCAGCCCCTCCGTCGCACGCCCACTGGGCCCGGGGTGCACAGGCCCCCCCTGGTGCCTGGTCTCCTCCCCTCCCCTGGCTCTGCATGATTTCTGACTTGCTTTTTCCATATGTGAAATCTTTGCATGAGGTCATTTCAACTGGGGAGGGAGCGAGGGGAGGGTCACCAAGGCAATATTTCCAAAGTGCAGAGGTCCCTGGGGTGAATTTGGGCGGAACCTGGATAAGTGTTTTTCATTTTAATAGTTACATATTTATTGTTAAATGTATTTATTGTAATGTGATTGGACAAAAAGGTAGAATATCCATCCCCTGATACAGAGTTTTCAGTTCAAGTAAACTTGAGTAAAGCAAAAGAGAATGAGAGAGTTGATTTAAGGAAACTATTATATGAATAATAGCCTAGGTGGTCCTCAGACCTGACAGATAGTTCTGGGAATGCTGCACACTTGCTCTCAGCTCTCACCTACAGTTTCCTGGACATGCCAGTCTGACGGACATGGTTTTGTTTTTTTTTTTAACATTTTTTAAAAATTTTATTTTATTATATTAGTCACCATACAATAAATCATTAGTTTTTGATGTAGTGATCCACGACCCATTGTTTTCGTATAACACCCAGTGCTCCATGCAGTACGTGCCCTCAATACCCATCACCGGGCTAGCCCATCCCCCCACCCCCGTCCCCTCTAGAACCCTCAGTTTGTTTCTCAGAGTCCATAGTCTCTCATGGTTTGTCTCTCCTTCCGATTCCCCCCCTTCATTTTTCCCTTCCTTCTCTTAATGTCCTCCATGCTATTCCTTATGTTCCACAAATAAGTGAAACCATACGATAATTGACTTTCTCTGCTTGACTTATTTCACTTAGCATAGTCTCCTCCAGTCCCATCCATGTTGATGTAAAAGTTGGGTATTCATCCTTTCTGATGGCTGAGTAATATTCCATTGTATATATGGACCACATCTTCTTTATCCATTCATCTGTTGAAGGGCATCTCGGCTCTTTCCACAGTTTGGCTATTGCGGACATTGCTGCTATGAACATTGGGGTGCATATGGCCCTTCTTTTCACTACATCTGTGTCTTTGGGGTAAATACCCAGGAGTGCAATTGCTGGGTCATAGGGTAGCTCTATTTTTAATTTTTTGAGGAACCTCCACACTGTTTTCCAAAGTGGCTGTACCAACTTGCATTCCCACCAACAGTGTAAGAGGGTTCCTCTTTCTCCACAACCTCTCCAACATTTGTTGTTTCTTGCCTTGTCAATTTTTGCCATTCTAACTGGTGTAAGGTGGTATCTCAATGCAGTTTTGATTTGAATTGATGGACATGGTTTTGATCGCAACAGGATGGTCCTGCCCTGGGCTGGCCAGAGAGAGGGGCTGCTCCGTGGCCAAAGAGCTCCAGTGACATGTCACAGCTCCCTCATCTGAGTTTCTGTCTGTCCCCTACACGGACATCTGGCCTGCCTTGCTGTCCTCAAACACGACTCTCATATTTCAAATTGCTCAAGAGCCCTCCATAACTCCCCATTTCCTACAGGACGGAGACTGACTCCTCAGCCTGGCACTCAAAGCCCTTCTCCATCCATCTTTCCGTTTCTGCCACAGGCCCATGTACTCACTGCCTGGACATCTGGTGTCCTCCCTTTGGTGTCCCGTCTGCTCCAGCTGTTTTGCCGATGGGAGTTGTCCACTCACCTCCAACCTGTGCTTCCTCAACCTCCTCCCAGGCCCCTGCGTCTCCTCCTTCTACAGATGGTCTAGCAGAACGCTCAAGGCCAGCCTTTGAGTTCTGATCCTGGCACTGCTGCTTACCAGCTGTGTGTCCTTGAGCCGGTTACTTGCCCTCTCTGGTACCCCATTGCCTCATCTGTAATGAGGGGCACTGACAGCAACACCTGCATCCTCCCAGGGCTGTTGGGAAAGCTGACGGAGATGCTGCCCCCGGCACAGCACCAGATACACAGTAGCAACAAGTACACGGCCGTGGCCGCAACTTCCTTGAACTTGGAATTTAGTTCTGGCCAAGAACGGCCTTTTGGCACTCGTTTCCCAGGGAGCCGGTGTTTGATAGATACTTGTCGACTGATTGTGGATGTTCTGTGCTGCGTTTTCTACATTCTTCTCTTGATCAGAGGCTCCAGGGAGCCTGAGAGCCGCGTTCCCTTTCCTGGGTCTAAGGGTCCTTGCGGCCTTGAAAAGCTTCGATTCCGGGGCCATCTCGCCACCTTCTCTTCTCTGGGTGAGTCCTCTTTGGTCTCGAGGGCTCTTTGTGGAGCTGCCTCTTCTTCCTTCAAGTTTGGCCTAACAGCTAGAATCTTCCCCAGGAGCCGCCAAGACCGGCAGAGGCGGCACGTGAAACTTCCCCAGAGCAGATGGGAGGAGACAGACCAGGGGCTGGACACACACAAGGCCGTCTTCTAGACTAGAGAGAGGCCACCAGCACACTTTGACCCAGGGCCCCGTGGTGCCAGGCACTGTGCGAGGTGCGGCCTTCGACATCCAGGCCCCTGCCCCTGGTCCTGGCGCCTGCAGCCCTTGCTCTGGTTGACTACAGAGATGGCTCCCGAGCCGGGGGGTGAGCCTCACTTTTCCGGTGACCAGCCGGTGGCCAGAGGCCTAGACTAGCAGCGGGCCTTCCCTCCCCCATCCAGTCCTCTGCCTTTTCTGAAAGAGATGTGTGTTCCCTCGGCCCTCCCCCCTCGCCACATCCCCTTCCTCCCACAGAGCCCGGGGCCCCAGGCTGCAGTCCAGCAGTCCCTCTGAGCAGACTCCAGCGAGGCACGGCTTTGTCAGAAAACCTCATTAGCAGAGACAGCGAGGCCAGGGCAGCGCGGAGTGGCATTCCAGGTGTCAGTTGAGAGGGGCCGCAGGAGGAAAGGCCATTAAACCAGGCTGAGGTCAGCCCCTCGCAGAATGAAAACAACAAACTGCAACCCTGGGAGAGGGCTGGGAAGTACACTGGGGGCTGAAAAGGGGATGCCCTGTGCTCAGGCTGGGAAGGGAGGGCCCTGCCTGATCCTGGGAGTCCCAGGGGTGAGGTCTGACCAGCCTCCACTGTGTGAAGCCCCAGAGGATGGAGGCTGGGCCTCAGGAGACTGAGCCCCCAGTGCCCCGCGCATGCGCAGCACACGCAGGCACTCAACAAACACTGGATGAATGAATGAATAGTTCGCCTGTTCCCAGGGAGGAGGAGGGCCAGCCACAGCTCCGACTTCTTGAGCGCTCACTACGTGTCAGGCACAGTGCTCAACACTGCCTATGTAGAAGCTCTTCACAGGGCAACAACACAAGGATTATCAGTTCCGTTTTAAAGACAAAGAAGTATAGATACCAGAATGTGTTATTTGGGGCTCCTCTGGCCCTTCAGGAACTCTCTAGAACTCTACCTACCGATACCTGGAACTTCTGAACCAGGGACGAGTTTCCTTCATCCCACAATTAGTCATGAAAAGGCTGAGGGAGCGCTGGGGCTGAGGAAGGCGGGGAAGCTCACTCCTCCCGAAGGGTAATTACTGTGAATGGCTGGTACCTGGAATTCCCTGGCCAGAGAGGGCGATGGGCTGCCCTAAGTCCGGGGACAGACCCTGCTGGGGGAGGTGAGGACAGTGGCCCCCTGTGTGGACGCCCGCTTTGCCTGAGTTCTGTTTGCCCCCGCTGGGCGGGGACGCGCAGGGGTGGGTATTTTTGTCACCTAACAGGGAATGCACATGATTTATAAAGTCCTTTTAACCTCAGGCTGCCTCATAAAGGAGCTTTGAGGGGACTCCAGGGAACCTAGTTATGAAAGGCCTTCCTTTCTGGGGCTCTGTTAGATGAGGCCTCGCAGGCCTGCTGCCTGCCTTCAAGGATTAGGCACCTGGTGTGCCCTAGCCTGGGTCTGGAATGACGGGGGCCGGGGACCCCAGGATCTGTGCCTTGTTCCTTTATCCCTGCTCAGGCTTCTTGTCCTTTACAGCCTCTTAGCTGAAACCTGCCCCAAGAGATCTCTGATCCCTGACCCCTGATGCCCTTGACTTCTGAGGCCCAAGCTTCCCCTGGATGAGTCATTCACCTCACTGAACCTCAGTTTTCTTATCTGCAAAATGAGTATAACACTACCTGCCTCAAGTTCTTGTACTGAGGAATCGAGACCCGCGCCAGTTGGGAAGCTCTCTGAGGACAGCCCCCTGTGCATCTCATTCGTCCTTGTCTCTCCAGCACCTAAGTCGGGGCACAGACAGTGGATACAGAGTGGCAGTTTGCCCAACGGAATTCTACTGGATTCCAGCAGGAGGAATAAGTGAAACGTGCTTGAAGCCTCCAAGCACGGTGTCAGGTGGGCATTTAGAAAAACTGGGCTTAAATCTGAATTTGAATTTGGTTCTTCCCTGCTGATGTGGAATGGAGACCCTGGCCCAGATTGTGAGATGGGCCACCCCCCGCCCCAGGGTCCAGCCCTCTCCTCCCGGACCCCTTGGGGCCAGCTGCAGAGGATCTTTGTCTCTCTCCCTCCCGGGCGCCCCTCCCCCAATGGGACCTCACGGCCTCTTCCCAGCTCCGCAGCAGCCCCTGTGGCCCCTCTGGGGCGGTGGGCGTCCCTGTGTCGGCACAAGCAGGCCAGGCCCCTCTCCAGGGAAGGGGCCGAGGGGTGTGAAGGACTGGTGTGTGTGACTTTGTTTATTTTCTCTGAAGGATCCTGCCTGAGCCCTGCTATAAAAATAACCTGCCTGGAAACCTCATCTCCGAGGGGGAGAAAGAGGCTTTTGTGTCCAGAGAAGTGGCTCTAACAGCCTCCCTGTGCCCCACACATCAAGGAGGAGCTGGCTAGGGTGAAGAGGAGCCTCGGCCCAAGTGAGGTGTGCAGGGCAGCAGCCCGTGGAGGGCACTGTGGGGGGGGAGGGGCGGGGGGAGGCGGCTCAGGAGCCCCTCTCCCCCAGTACTGCTGAAGCACAGCCCCCTGCCTGCGTGACCCAGGAAGTTCAGAAGGAGGAACTGAGGGAGAGAAAGAAAGGAGACATCGACAAGAGATACAAACCAACCAAGATGCACTGGATATCGAGAGAGAGACAAACAGGCCAGGAGAGAGAGGAAAATCAAATCGAACAGACAGGAGAGACACGGGAAGGAGACTGAAGCCAAAGGAAAAAGAAAACAGAGAGATATTCACCCAGCAAGTTGTGGATGGAGCTCAAGGGATCAGAACGAGACTGCGGTCAGGTTTACAGATGGAGCTAAGGATTTGGTCCAATTCCCAGGATCCCCACTGTGTCCCCCTGCTGGCGGAGGAGCCCAGGCAGGGTCAGAGCCGGGCGCTAGGGCCCTTCCCTGCTCATGTGCACTGGCTGGCTTCTGCTCTGGCTCAGGCTGGGGTGGTCATGCAGACACAGGCCTACCCGGTCTCTCAGGGAATGCCTTCCCAAGGGCCAGGTCCAAAGGCAAGAAGGGACTCTGCAGCAGCGAAAGAATACTGGCCTTGCCTTCGGGAGGCCTGCATTCAAGTCCCAGCTCTCCCACTTGTCAGCCCGGTGAACTATGTCAAGTCTTCCAGCCTGGCTCTCTTACCAGTAAACTATAAATAATAAGCCCCCTACCACCTCGCAGAGCCATTGGGCAGAGCCATGGAAGGGCATCCAAGTGGACTCTTTAAGTTGTATAGTGCCAGTAATATGAGAAGGGATGAGCCATTCGAACCCATTTCTCCAGGGGCTGGGGTTGACCTAGAAGTTGCCAGAGTCTTGGTATGCAGCACCACTCATGGTGTAGCAAGAATGTCAAAGAGAAGCTCACAGCATCAGCCATGTGGGGAAGAGTAGGTTCCAATATTAACCACGAAAGTAAAGTTTTTTCCTGTAAGAAATCTCCTGTATTTTTTCATCACCAAGACTTGGGATTGATTCACATAGAATCAGGTTGGTAAAGCACATACCACTGAAGACACTCTTAAACTTTAGTCCAGCAGGGAAAGTTGATCTCTCCTGGGATAATTGATGGAGCCGGCAGAAGATAATATATTATTTCCCCTGGGGCTTGGAGCTGGTGTTTTGTTGTTGTTGTTGTTTGTTTATTTTGAGTGACACAGATCAAAAGGAAGAACAGAGCTGGGGTCCAGGATGCTTTAAAGCAACTCTTGGAGGGGCTCCTCGGTGGCTCAGTCAGTTGAGTGTCCAACTCTTGATTTCAGCTGAGGTCGTGATCTTGGGGTCATGAGATTGAGCCCTGTGTCGGGTTACACATTCAGTGCAAAGTATGCTTGTCCCTCTCCCTCCCTTCTGCTTGCTCTTGCTCTCTCTCTCAAATAAATAAATAAATAAATAAATAAATAAATAAATAAAATAAATAAAATCTTTAAAAAAAATAAAGCAACTCTTGGAGGTACAAATTAACATGTGGAAAGACTATAAAGGAAACTCTACTTTGGGGACAAAGAGCTGGGCAGCACAGCTGTCCACTGAAGCTAGGAGAGGGCTAGGGGGCTGTAGAAGCCATGATCAAAAGCAGGCTGTGGGCACTGCAGGGCCTAAAGCATCCCCAGTGGCTTGAGGCTAAGCAGGGGCCCAAGAGAGAAATAAATGGGGGTAGGGTTGTAGTAACATGGCTGCTGTGAAGTAGAAAGGAGTGGACTTGGTGATGCAACTGGAACTGTCCCCCAGACTGGCCCTCAGTAATGCATTTGAAAAGTAACTGATGGAATGTGCTCAGGATACTAATAACATTAATAGTTAATACAAATGGTTAGCACTTACTGTGTGCCAGGCCCTACTCCAAATGCTTTGCCTGCATTATTGCATTTAGTCCTTATAAATGTCCTCCTCCAGCATCCATCACACCCCATCCCCACAGTGTAGCAGACTTGCAGGCTGGACAGGGTTGACCCCAGTCCTAGTTCTATGGGTACGTCCTGGTAGATCTGAGCCAATCAGGGTGACCCCATAACCCATGGCAGAGGAACACCTTCAGGTTGATCTAAGTAAAGTGTAGACTAGAACTTGACTTAATAATGAGGGAAGAAAAGAATTCGTTCTTTTCTGTTAGACTGTGGTATGTGCAGGTGTGAGGCCTGCAATTGCCGGCAGCCATCTTAGGATCATGGGTGAGCCATACTGAGGATGAACCAATATATCAGGAAGGCAAAGCCAAAAGAACCACAGAGAATAAGCAAAAGCCCTGATCAAACTATTCCTGAAACCCTCATGACTTTAGGATTTTCATGTGAATTAATGAAGTCCATTGTTTAAGGTAGTTGAGTTGGATTCCTTCCTCCCTCCCTCCCTCCCTCCCTTCCTTCCTTCCTCTCTCCGTCCCTCCGTCCCTCCGTCCCTCCCTCCCTCCTTTCCTTCTTTTCCTTCTTTTTGTAACTTACAACTGGAAGTATCCAAACTGATCCAAACTGACGCAGAATATGTCACCCAGGGAGGTGAAGTAACTTGTCCAAAGTCGAGTAAGCTGCCTGAGAGGTGGAGGAGCTGAGATTCAAATGAAAGCAATGTGCATTTAGAGCCCGTGCTCTTCCAACAGCATCAGGAGCCCCACGGCAGCCGCGCTCTGACCACACAGCAGCTTCGTGCCAAACCCCTTTCCACGGCATCTCACTGCATCCTCACAACAGCCTGCAGAGACGGCAGCCTCCCTTATCCCTGCCTTCACACATAGGGAACTGAGGCTTGACCAGATTAAGCAACATGCTCATCATCACACAGCTCTGAAACAAGAGAGCAGAACTGAATCCAGGTCCCTGACATGAAGGTGCTGGACCTCCCCTCCCGTCCTGTGGGCAGAGGCTGCCTGACAATGGTCCTGGACAGTCTATTCCACTCCCTTTGAGGGTGAATTGATTTCCAGTTGTTTTATCCAGGTTGATCATTATCTCCATGGCGACTGCACAGATAGGTGAGCATTAAAGGGAGGTAGGAGGTCAATTTTAGCCCAATATTAGGAAGAACGTTCCTATTGTTCCAGCCATGGGGTGGGCTGCCTGGGAGAGTCTGAGCTCTCTGTGGTGGGCAGGCCAGCAGGCCAGGGCTGGCGGAGAAGCCTGTTGCCTGCACGAGCGAGGCTGGAAAGAAAGGCTGACGTTCCGTACTTCTAAAGCCTTCCCCTCTCTGGGCCTCAGTCTCCCCATCTGTACAGCGGTGAGGGCAAGACTGGGTGAGGGCTGAGGTCTCTTCCAGGTCTAACATTCTCGAATTCTGGAATTCCTGGAGGCAGGACTCCAGGCCCCAGGGTCTGGCCAGGAAAACAGAGACAAGGCTGTTTGGCCAGCTGGGAAGAACAGTAGAGCTTATTGAACCCACGGTTCCCTGAAACAGAAACAGCCAAATGGCACAAGCAGAGAAGATAAATTCATTTGTGGGGCCGGTGAGAGCAACTGAAAAAAATGCAGGGCTTGAGGGCCATCCAAGGAGAGCCAATTTTCAAATGGTGGGCTGTGACAGTGTGCCCGCAGGATAGAAACTGCACACTGGGCCACAGTCTGCCCCAGCCAGAAGGAAGACAGTGAACCTGGATGTAACCATCAACAGCACAGGGACCAAGAAGCCCTATCTGGTCAGGGTTCCCTCACATGGGTTCACTTCCCCCAGAGACCGGGGAGAGCTGTGTTTGCCATTAGCAAAGGGAGGCCTTTCGGAAATGTGCCTTAGTTAAACTAAAACCGTTGTTCATGTAACCGAAAGGTGCTTATTTGGCAACACAGAGACCACTCTCACAAAGCTGTGAGGCCAGAATTAGAGAGAGAAGGCCTGGGGTCTCCTTCCCTGCACAGCTTTGGGTGGGCCTTGAGGCCCAGGGGTGTACAAGATGCCACCATAAAGCTTTGGGTTGTCTCTCTGGGATGTTCCCTCCACTCTTTGCTCTAATGATGATTAATGTTGATGTTGTGACTATTTTCAATGTGCTTTGTCATCCGCAATCCCATGTGACCTTCATTACAATCCGCTGAGGTAGACAGTGGGATAATTTTATGCCCATCTAGAGAGGAAAAAATGGAGCTTCAGAGAGGGTAAGCCGAAGGTCACTCAGGTAGCAAATGATGGCTCTGGGGTTGAACCTAAGGCCCTGGGCTCCAATCCTATGCCCTTTTCCTATGGCACCCTGCCACATCTCCACCCCCCTTTTTGGGGCCACTGAGGACTGACTTTTCTAAGATGCTCTTTTCTCTTGCTTAGGGACAATGCAGAGCCCTTTGGAGCTGGATTAAAACCACTACAAGCGCCAGCTTTTAAATTTTTTTTTTTTTTTAAGATTTTATTTATTTGAGAGAGAGAGAATGAGAGACAGAGAGCATGAGAGGGAAGAGGGCCAGAGAGAGAAGCAGACTCCCTGCCGAGCAGGTAGCCCGATGCGGGACTCGATCCAGGGACTCCAGGATCATGACCTGAGCCGAAGGCAGTCGCTTAACCAACTGAGCCACCCAGGCGCCCAGCGCCAGCTTTTAAAAGATCAGTATTTGAAATAGAAGCAATTCTAATGGTAAAGTAAATGTAAAGAAGTCCAACAAAGTTTTGACTTTCTTTATGAGGGTTACTTCTAGGTCTTAAAATAAGTCAAATATTGAAATTGAATTGATTTTAATTAATTTGAATTTAAATGATTGATTTTTTTATTTGGTGTCACCACCCTACTGGTGTCCTAAGTTTCTAGCCTGCCTTTGGCCTATCTCAGGTCCCTGGGCCCCTAGGCCACACTGCTCTGCACTGAGAGGAAATCTCTGGAATTGTCTGTGAAACTGGGCCAAGCTATAAGGCTGGGAAGATGCCTTATCTGGAGCAGGAAGTGGCTACAAGCAGAGACTGGGGTGCCTGAAGGAGGAGTTCCATGAGTGGGGAGGAACAGCCCCATGCTGTCCCTTGCAAGGGGAGGCAAGGAAACGAGGCCACAGAAATGGAGGCCCTGACAGAGCTGTAAGCTATATTCTTCCCGGGCCCCGGAAATGCAACAATGACCACCATCTTCACCCTCAGGAAAGAGGTGGAGTCCAAATCCAGAAGGCACAAGGCAAAAAGGGTGAGAAGAATGGCAGAGGGGAGTGTCAGGAATGTCCAGCAGGGGAACAAGGAAAGAAGTTGGAGATTCCCCGAGTCCCCCTCCCTAGGGGCTCAACCCCAACCTCCTGAGCTCCTTGGGACCAGGGCCCCTTCCTGTGTTCTCTGATTCCTTCTAGACTCCAGTCTGGGGACAAGGGGGCTGGAATTAAGTGCAAGGGTATCCATCAAGAATCCAACTGGAGTATTTTCCCACTTTCCCTATTCTTTTTTCAGGAAGTTCTATGCCCAACATGGGGCTTGAACTCATGACCCCGAGATCAAGAGTGGCATACTCCATGACTGAACCAGCCCGGGCGCCCCTTTCCCTGCTCTCTGTGATACTGCCGAGGCTGAGGGGGCAATGGGAAGGATTGTGGGAAGAAGAGGTTGGGAGAATTCTGAGCTCTTTAACAGCAATTGGTAAGAATGTACAAAACTCTTTTAAGTAACGTAAAAATGAACAGCTAGTAACTCTCTGATTCTTTGCCTCAAAAGAAGTAAAATGTGTTTGTTTGGGGAGCAGCCGGCAAGCAGCCCCTCAACTCTCACTCTTCTTGACCCAGTCCCTCCCACCCACCCCCTCTCCTTAGCAGTCCTGCCCTGGTCCCTGAGCCACCCACCCTTTCAGGGACCCCATGGCATCACGGGGGCTGGCTTTTCTCTGGCTGAGGGTGGCAGTGGCTGGAGACCCTCGTATGCTGGTGGAGTAGGCCAAGGTCCCTGAGGACCCTGGGATGGAGAGTTCTTTGTAGAAGTCGGAGCAGTGAACAAAGAGGTCTTTGAGCCCTGGCGAAAGCCCTAAAGAGCCAGTGCCTTGGGCCCAGCCTGCTCACTGCCCTCATACCCCCAAGGACTGGCTCAGGCAGACTGCTGGCTCTGGCCCCTTCTCCCCAAAGGGGATTTCTGATGCAGCTCTGTTCCCCAAATGCTGCAGTGAGGTACTCAATTCACCTGAAATGTCACCAGGGATGAGGCCATCCCCTCGATGCCCTCCCATTCCTTCTCTTTTAAAAGACTTTGGAGTCAGACAAATTTGCTTTCAGTGTTAGTTTCTACCACTTACTGGTCAAGTGATCCTGAGCAATTGACAATTTTAATTGAACTTATTTCTTCATCTGTAAAATGGGAATAATGGTATCATTCACTTCATCGGTTGGTTACACAATGCCTAGCACATGGTAAGCACTCAGTAGACATAAGTATCATGATTATTATTCCTAATATCTATCTCCATTCTCTCTTTCCTGTTGACCCCTGCTGGGCTTGACCCTCAAGTCTGACCCCATTCCAGCAAATGGGTCCATCAGGTGAGAAAGCCTCAGCTGAGCCTGAGCTGGGCTCTTCATGGGTGTGACAAAGTGTGCAGTTCCCCAAGCTGGGGGGATAGGAGTGGGAGTCATGTGAGAAAACTTCAGGCACTAGGTACAGGGTGAGGTTGACACTGACCTTAGATGATTGAGTGGACTTCCAATGGCCACGTTTGTGTCACTTACAAGCACTCAACTCATATAGAGTCCTGGAATGTTCAAGAAGTTCACTGGTTCCTCTTGCACTGTTGGTGGGAATGCAAACTGGTGCAGCCACTGTGGAAAACAGTACGGAGTTTCCTCAAAAAGTTAAAAATAGAGCTACCCTGCAACTGATCTAGTAATCCCACTACTGGGTATTTACCCCCAAATACAAAAACACTAATTCAAAGCACCTCTATGCTCATAGCAGCATTATCTACAATAGCCAAACTATGGAAGCAGCCCACGTGTCCACTGATAGATGGAAGAGGTGGTGTATATATACAACGGAATATTATTCCACTGTAAAAAAGAACGAAATCTTGGCATTTGCAACAACATGGATGGAGCTGGAGAGTATTATGCTAAGTGAAATAAGTCAGAGAAAGACAAAATACCATATGATCTCACTCATATGAGGAATTTAAGAAACAAAACAAACAAGGAAAAAGAGAGAGACAAACCAAGAAACAGACTCTTAGCTATAGAGAACAAACTGATGGTTACTGGGACGGGGGGTGAGGGATGGGTGAAATAGGGGATGGAGATTGAAAAGTACACTTATCATCATGAAAAAATAATAAAATGATAAAAAATAATAAAATAAATAAGTTCACCGATTTTTAAGTTTTGAGGGGGTTCAAGGGACCTGTAAGATGGCTAAACTTCTGAAACCTCTTTCCAGCAAAATGTAGAACCCTACATGTTTTGCATATAATTTTAGTAGGTTTATCTGTGGACCTCAAGTTTACCTCTATTCATCTCACTGCTCAGAGGGGTTAAATAATTTGTCTGAGGACCCACACCTTGCAGGTGGCATAGCTGTGACTTGAACCCAGACTGTAATTGTCCTTGCTCTTGAAAGAAATGTCTCCATCTTGCTCTTTGATTGAGGCTGTGTTCACTCCCCCTCTTGGGCACTGGGAGGCTTTGCAAGCCCACGGTGGGCTCCTTGGGGTCCCCAGGAGGTTGTTCAAGGGTTAACTCAGGTGGGTCCTATGCTGGGTAAAAGGGATAGAGCAAGGCCAAGCCAGAGCTCACCCCAAGAGCGCAGAGGCCCTGCACGTGGTAGTGAGGGGTTAACAGAGCTTGAGTGTGGCTTTGTATGTGTGTGCTCGAGAGCAAGGTTGCATGTGCGAAGGCGCACGTCTCTCACTTGTGCGTGTTGGTGCCGCAGGAGTGGGCCCGCAGGCCAGCCTGGGAGAGAGGTGCCGCAGTGTCCTGGTATGAATGGGCCTCTGTCTTCAAGGCTGTGTGAGCCTCTGTGTGTACAGGTCCCATTAACTCGCCCTCAGCCACATGTGGAAAGGGGAGGAGAGGCCCGGAGAAGCCCAAACCACTCCGAGTCCTTCTGATTTTAGAATGAAGTCAAAGACATAGAAGAAAGAAACTATAAAGACCCAAACTCATATATGAATAGGGTACACACACACACACACACACACACACTCTCTCTCTCTCTCTCTCTCTCCGGGGCTGTCATGACCTTCTATTTTCAACCCTGTTGCTAACCTCCTGTTACCTATCTGGGTACTTTGGGGTGAATCTTCAGCTAATGCCCTAAAACAGATCCTAGATTGCTGACCCTATTTACCTCTGTGGCTATCTCAGCGATATAGTCTGTGTATCTGTCTTTGTCTTGAGTCTGGGTTTGGCTTCTTTCCAGTCTCACCTGCAGCTCCTGTGATGCACGCTCATAGCAACAACCTAGCCAAGCAGGCCTCCCTTGCACCGTTATGCCTGGGATGGACAGGCTTGGCTCAAGTCCTGTCCTGAGCCCCATGTCCCCACTTTCTCTTCTAGTCCTCTCTGGGTCCCTGTTGCCCTTAGCTGTGGTTTGTTTAATGGAGCGACTCCTGTCTGGGAGCAACCCAGAGCTCAGGACACAGGGAGACACTTGTCCAAACTGGCTATTTTTTCACCAAAGGAGCCAAACCACAGTGATGGGCTCAGTGGCCTGGCCAGGTGCCTTCCTCATCCCTCCAACCACTAGCCTGGCCCCCATTCCCCTGTCTGGGCCTGATTACCAGTGGCCTCTGGTTTAGGACTCCTAGTTACCTATTGGGAGACCTCCTCAGCTGGAGCCTGGCACCCTGTGTGAGGGAAGAAGGGAGATCTGGCTTCTGAGGCAGTAGCTGAGACACAGAGAGATACCCTGGGGACCAAAGAATAGGCCCACAGCCCACAGAGACCAACAACCATACCATATTCACCCTTCTCTTCCCAGTGCCTGACACAGAGTAGGTCCTACAAGAATAAATGAGTGAATAGTTGGATAGATGGATAGATAAGCAAATGGGTAGATGGGTGGGTGGATAAGTAAATAAATGAAGACTCTTAGACCCAAGTAGATATTCTGATAGAAACCTAACTTGGGGGGTGCCTGACTGGCTCAGTCGGTAAAGCATGTGACTCGGGGTTGTGAGTTCAAGCCCCACATTGGGCATAAAGCCTACTTAAAATAAAAATTTTAAAAAAACAACCTAATTTGATTCCTTGATCCAATCATGGGAAGGAAGGAAGGAGAGACCTAGGTCTAGAAGGTACAGCCATCTCACCCCAGAATCTAAAGGAAATCTCTGAGCTCAGACCCTTTATAGCACATCTTTGAGATTCCCCTGGAGGTCTTATGTTGAGGGAAACTGGCCTTTTCTCCGTGGTCTTTTCCTCAGGCCCCTTCTTGCAGAGGCTTCTGTGCTCACTAGAAAATGTGCTCTGCAGCTGAGCAAAGTAGCAATGAGTCAGGGAGGAGTGGAGGGTGGGGAGAAATGAGGCTCAGGCTGATGGTTGTGGTGCCAGGAACGGGGTCTGGCGACAAAATGTTTTAGGCTGGGACTAGAGCAAAGTGTTATGTGCTTGGACTGGGAGATTGAGGACATTTCCAGCACCTAACACAGGGACCTGGCATATAGTAGCCACTTAGGATTTTTGAATTAACCAATTAAACATTTTTACATCCTGTTCTCTCTGGCTAACACCCCAAAATCCTTTTCCAAGGGGCATATAGGATTCTCAAGAGCCCTGGACCACTAAGGACCTTCCTCTGAGGGTAGAATGAATCAAGGTCAGCAGCTCTACTGAGGGAAAAGGGGGCAGTGTTTGTCCACCCCCACCATCCACAGTCCCCCTCCCTCACCCTCATCCTCCCTCCTACCACCAGTTACCTTGGTGTTGATCCAGAAGCTGGGGGTACCAGGAGGGAGCAACACAAAGCCTCCATGCTTATGTGTGTGCGTGCATGTGTGTATGTGTGTGACTGTGACGGTCTCATCTCAAGCTCTGGCAAAAGGCCTCCTCACCCCACTGCCACAGGATGGTGTACGGGGCTGGGGCTCTTGGGGTGGGGGGTGGTCCTCTGGTGGAGAAAGGCCTTGGATGATAAGATGGGAAACTCCACACCACCCAGGCCACAGCTGCAGAGCTCAGAGACCCCATTCAGGAGTCCCGTCCCCCAGGCCAGGCCCAATAGATCATCTCTGCTGCTGAGCTCTTCATGGAAGGAAATGCTTAGAGCTTCTCCAGGGGTCTTGCTGCTGGAACATGCTCCTCAAGTTTGATCACTATTTCTTGCAGCAATTTGCCTTGAGAGAGGCCAAGCAGCAGCCTTTCTTTACAGCATATCCATGGTCAAAGCTGCCCTCTGAATTAGATCTAGAAAGCCTGGGTTTTGAGACCCAAAGAGGCTTGCCTCTAGTCTGAGTTGAGCCTATTTTCTGAGCAGACACAGAACTGTTGGCTCAGGGCAGGCAAGGAAAGGCCTCGTGAGCCAAGAGAAAACAATTAGGAGTAATTACCATCAAGAGAGGCCCCCAGTGAGGGGTGAGGGTGGGAAAGGCCAGTCTCTTTAAGAGGAAGCTGAGAGTGGCAGACTGATTTTGGGGAAGAAATCGGAGAGAGAGTGGGAGGAAGGGTTGAGAGTGTGTGTTGTCTTTCTTTTCCAGTAAAAGAGCAGGACCCTCCCCCCTCGGCCTCGGCCTCTAGCCTGAACTAAGTTCCACCTCTACAGGGGCTCTGTGTAAGGAGGTGGGGGTGGGGGAGCAAGAGGGCACAGGGCTATGCATTCCTGAGATTCTCAAACCGGTTGGAATGGCAGAGGAAACTCCATACTGAGGGGACAGAGCAGGAGACACAGACAGAAGTGAAAAGAAAAAATGGAACACTGCGGAGCACCACAAATGTCTCCAAATGTTCCTACACACACACCCTTGATTCCTGAGCTCCTGTGGGGATGAGCTCTATCTGCTTGGTATCGGTATCTCCCTCCTCACCACCCACCCATCCTTAGCCCTCCCCCTTTCTAGGTTAGGATCAGAGGCCTCAAAGGAAATTTTGCTAATGTGGGCAGCCCGGAGAGTTGGGGGACAAGAGTGGGAGGCAAAAGACAGTTGGAGAAAGGGTTGTTGTGGGAGGGGTGAAGGGAATTCTTTGGTACCCCTTTCTGAAGAAGCCAAGAGGAAATGAATCCCAAGGCAGAGGGACCCCACCATTCTCCTTGACCCTCCAATCTAAGGTGAAGAGACAAGGATCTCAACCCTGCTCATGAGACAAAAGAGGGAGAGTTAGCCTTTGCAGACCTCATGGAAGGTTCTCTTCTTTGGTTTCACACTGAGAGAGACCCCATGATGTCTGGGTCACGTGCTCGCCCTGTCTCAAGATGAAACAATGCTGGCTGTGTGCATGCAGTATCTCATAGGGCTTTTAGGGGCTTTGGAGACATATGTTCTTGGCTTGGAGTCCCTGTTCCTATCACTGACAGTCTGAGACTTTGGGCTAACTTATTCAATCCCTAAGCTCATTTTTCTCATCTGAGAAATGGGGATAAGGAATAGTACCTACATCACACACTTGTGAGGACTAAATGAGATAATGTATATAAAGTGTTTGGCACAAAAGGCTGGGACTAGGGCCTCAATAAATGCTTATTCTTATTGTTAATATTTTTGGAAGAAGATAGCTCTAACTGCTAAGTGGATGATGCATTTGAAGTCAAGGACCCTGGGTGGGACACAGTGTAAAGCAGACACGAGGTGAGGACTTGAATCGGCGGGGCGGGGGGGTGCTGGCAAAAAGGGAAGCATAGGCACCTGAGACACAGAATGAACAGAATTTAAGTGAGAGACAGACAAAACACAGGAGTCAATTGATGTAGAGATGTTGGGGTTCAGAGCTGATGGCCAAGAAAGCATTAGACGTCTTTGGTGCAAAAAGGTGGTTTTATTAAAGCATGGGGATAGGACCCTTGGGCATAAGGAGCTGCACTGGGGTTGTGACAGGTGACTGATTATAGACTTTCAAGTTGGGAGGGGGCTAGGGACAGTACAAGCCTCTACGGTATTTTGGAAACAAGGTTTCCGGGATCCTGGGAGCGGCTAGCTACTGATAGGAAAAGGTCATTTACTACCGTTTAGTAAAAACTCAGTCGTACGAGACCCTTCAGATGTGTATCAGTGGGCCATATGCTTGGAGAATGATTGCTAACACGTATCTTGTGGGGTAGAGATAAAGGAAGTTCCAAAAGAATTTTTTTATGTTAAAGTAGACTCACAGGATCCTGAGGAGTCGGGCTGATTTCTTTTTGCCCTTAGCGAAGTGTCAAGATCAAGGCAACTGAGCTCCCAGAGGAAGGTCACTCTGCCTGTTTCAAGGCCTTGTCAATGGGCTGTAAGTAGTAAGGAAATTTAATTGTTTCTTATTTCCCACATCATAAATAATATAGTCAGATACGAAATGCTACAGAGAAGAAACGAAGGTAACGGAGCTAGGGAGTGTGAGAGTGACGCTGCACCAGAGCCCAGAGGTGGTGAGGGAGTGGGTCAGGAGGAGATCTGGGGAAAAGCCCTCCAGACACAGGAAACAGGAAGTAGAACCCCCGTGAGATGGAAGCAAGTTTGGTTTGCTACACAAACACCAAGGAGGCCTGTGTAGCCGAGACCAGTGAGCCTGGGCTGAGTGGGAAGGCAAGCTGTTGGAGGTGCAGGGCCCCGTAGGCCATTGTAGGCAGAGATCACTGGCCGGTGATGGGCTGATGGGAAATGGGGCACAGGTACACAAGGAAGCAAAACAGTTTTCCTGGAGTTCAGAACAGTGTCTGGAACATGAATTCCTTGAGGAACAGGACAAGCCTCCTCACCGTCCCCCCCGCCCCCAGGCCCTTTGTAACTTTTTGCAGTGCAGAACCACACCAGGCCCCACAGGAGCAGTCGGGGACAGAGGCTGACTCTAACTCACAATCCAGTCCAGGTCCCACTTGGAAGGAGTCTTGTCCCTGTTCAGTGATGAACATGCAGATCCAGGCAATCGTCAGCTATCTTTAACCATATTCAGTAATCAGAAAACAAGAATGGCTTGAAGGCTTCGCTCCTCATTCCAACCATTTTCAAATGGCCGAAAAAATCTTAACCATGCCTAGAAAAATATTAGAACTCAAGAATGTTCTGGAGACTACAAGTGACTCTTCTAACTCACACAGATAAAACCATTTCACCAACATAGTGGAAGATCTTTCAGAAGCTGGTGCTTTCTTATGTTTTATTCTCTGGAGTGTGAGCTTTACAGGTAGAGAGGTTAGATTGTGAGGAGGAAGGGGTGCAGGAGAGGGGCAAGGAGACAAGGGATGCTGTTAGCAGAGTGGGCTGGAAGTCCTGACTGGTGTGTTTGGCTCAGGAGGGCCCTCTGGCCAGCTCCACAGACAGGTCTGGTTTTAAAAAGTGCCAGGGAGCCATGGATTTGCACGTTATTTGCGTTCCAGGCTTCAATTCCAGGTATGTGGAATGAAATGAATGAATGAACAGTATTCAGGCTCTTGGTTAAGGGGTGGACTCAGGAATCCAGACCACACTGAGGATCCAATCACTGGTCCCACTTGGATCAGGAGACATAGACACAGAGACAGAATAAACAGTCAAAGAGACAGAGAGACAGTCTTAGAGAGACAAACACCACCAAGTCCTTTTTCACCAGGGAGTTTCCAGTCAAAGCAAGAAAGCAAAATCCACAGAATTTATTTTAAATAAATCAACTTTTAAGAACTAGGGAGAGAGTTACACACAGGTAGATAAATGCAACATCATCCCTGACTTATCTCCACCTCTGTCCCTCCATCATCCACGCCCAGCTTCTAACTGGAGTGTGCACCAGGAGTCGGCCTTCTTGATAAGGTCCCTTACTTGGTGTCTGCCTAGCCTCCAAATTAGTTAGACTCTAAGGTCCTTAAGGACAGGTGGCTTTTATTTCCTTGGTCAAACCATCTTTTCACTCCATCCTCCAGGGCCCCCAAGTCCAGTGCTTAAACACATGCTTATTAAACACCCAGTGTAAGGGGTTCCCCAGAATATCAGATGAGGCAAATGCTCTCCAAGAACTTAGCTCTGGCTAACAGACAAGACACAGGCAGCATGTAAAATGGTCCATTTAAAGGACAAGGCAGAAAGGGACTCAGTCTCAATCTACAACAGCACTGGACGTAAAAAAGATGGAGAAGACTAGAAAGGTGTGTGGTTAGAAAAAAAAAAATACTATGATTAGCTCCTTGGGACAGAGACCGAGGCCCGGGAAGGGCATGCTAAACTGCCAAGGAAGATGTTTAAGGGCAGAGTGGGGCATTAGGTTTGGGACCACAAAGGAGGTGCAGCCCCCCTGCACATTGCCATAAGCAGTCCTCCTTCCCCAACCCTTGAAATGCTGTCTTCTCAATCAACGTTTAATGCAGTTACCCCTACTCCTCACTGGCCGGCCAGAGAAGCAGCTTGCACTCCTGGCTTGAAGAAAAAGCACCAAATCATTCACCTGCTCTCTGTGACAACAGGTCTCAGTCCATTCCTGATGTAAAAGACAGATTACAAATATGGAGTTATAACATTTTCTGATTATTTGGGCTACAGCTGTCCAGATAAGAGATTTTAAGATAATGTGATCAGGGAAGGTTTCAGGGAGATGGGATTTGGGTGTGTGTGCTCTGTAGGTACTTAAGAACGAACCAGGAGTAAACTGAATGAGGTGTGCCTAGCAGACTAAAGACTTTGGGCTCCTTGTACATCTCTTTCCCACACTTTCCCTTCCGGACATTGATGTTCTGCAGAGTGGAAGGACAATCTCCAGGAGTCAAGCAGGTGATGGCTACTTGTCAGCTGAGAAAGGAGAAGTCAACAGCTATGATCTGTCCCATTACGGTAAGACTCTGACCTGGGCTTTAATTGTAAAACCAAGCCATATTAACACTGGCCTTAAACTTGAACTTTGAATCACTATCTTGACCGAATTCTATTCCAAGCAGGATTATGGCCCTCCACATTTCAGAATCTTAGACTCTGACAAGACCCTAGGTATCTGGTCCAACCACTCACAATGAGAATTATTCTTGCCCTATCCCTGACAGCCCAGAGAGGCAGGCTGTACTAATATTATTTCAAGGTTTGTCTTCTGACTCCAAGTGTTTGAGTTTCTCTTTTCTATCCCACAGGGGATTCATGTGTAAGTTCCCCCTTATCTTAGTGGGTGACCAGCATGACCCCATATACCCTTATGTCCCTCCTCACCTCCAAAGCTGGGAATGATAGTCATAGCCTCTTAATAGAGGTCAGGATTCAGCAAAGGTGAAATAAGGCTCCGGGCTCTAAGGGAAGATGCTGGACTGAGCCTTACATTTTAGGATGAATTCAAAGCTATGGGTAGGTTCCTTCTGGGCAGGGAAATATGGTGACTTTCCCAGGAGCTCAGCATGTAGCCTGAGTCAACGACAGGGCCTAAGAGTCTATATTCCACCTTGCCCTGGCCCATCCAGGTGGAGCAAGGGAGAAGACAAAGTCAAAGTGTCAGTCGTCTCTCTCTCTTACTCTGGCAAGACATATTTGAGAACTGGAGGGATGGCACAGAAGGACCAGAGGCTGAAACATAAAAACAATGGGGTTCTTAAGTGAATCCTCTCCCTCTCCTTAGGCCTTTCATAGGCCACGTAAAACCAGGTGGTGATGGACAGACTACGCGATGGGGTTGCTGGCAGTACTTCTTCAGGTCATGTGTTTCTGCCCCAGGGCACTAAAACTTGGAGCTAACATTGCTAGGGGCAGTGGGTAGAAGATGCTGGCACAATTACAGGAGCTAAAGAAGAGAAGAGTTGATACCACAGAGAAGTATGAAGTGCCTCATAGATAGAGGAGCCAATTTCCACAATGTCTCCATGAGGAACAAGGAAAAGTACTCTTACATCCAACCCCAAATGGGACTCCCAGGAGCAATAGTGGGTCCCCAGCAACAAATGGGACAGAACTAACCTCCATGCCTTCTTTTCAAATGTTCTATCTGATTTTCTCTGTACAGGGTCCAGGAGTGATTGGTGGGACTGTAGTTCCTGTTGAAGGCTCTGTATCTAGATAGAGTTCATCATCCCTCAAGTGTTACTTTTTAAGAGGAGGTAGGTGATTATGAGCACTGAACACAGGGAAGAAGGAAAAACAGGAGAAAAGGAAGGCAAGAGGCTTTAGTTTAAAGCAGTTTAACTAAGATACTGGTAGCATGCCCTTGGCCATGGAATGCAGGAACCTCCTTCTCCCCTCCCTGGTCATCAAAACCCACCCTTAAATGAAGGAGAAACTAAGTTCCCAGATGCTAGTCCTAAATTTGTTGGCTAGTTCTCTGGAAAAATGGCCCACTACAGATGTCTATATTTGGTTCCCACTGAGCCACCCTGGGCTACAACCTATGTCTCAGCTTGGTCCACCCATGTAGGGTGGTTTCAGGATCACTAACTTCGCCTTGTACATAAATGCACTGGTCAGAAAGGGGGTCCACGTTCAGACAGGCTCAACAATTCCTTATATATTTTTCAAAGTGCTTTTGTTGCATGTTTCATTTTCTGTTATACATGGCAATAAATATTTGTTGCTTTGGTCTGTACAAAAAGTCTGTGAGGAAGGTAAGACAGATGTTGTTATCTAAATGGACAAACAATAAATACAGACACCTATCTTGTTCTGAGTCCCCCCCAGATAATAGCAAGAGCACCTGAAAAACTCAGGTCTTTTGACTCATAGTCCAAATCTATGCCATACTGCCACCTTTCCATTTGTCACTGAAATACATTAAGTACCAAGAATCCACGTGCAGGAGTCATACACTGAGCCTGCACACTGTAGCTTTCTAAAAGAGAATGTGAAAGGTCTCAGCAACTCATAAATAGAAAGCTATTTATTTCCTATAGAAAAACACAAGAAAGAAAAAGAGAGAAAGAAAGAAAGAAAGAAAGAAAGAGAACGAACGAACAAACGAACGGTGGTCTTCCCCAAAAAGGCAGGCAGTTATGAAAAAGGTAGGACATCTGGTTGCTGGAGTGGAAACAGTAACATTCAGTTAACAATGGAATATTTAAAAAAAATAGTTTTCTTTTCAAATTGTAACCTGTGGTAAAACATAGAAAAATGTACTAAACAAGCTTGGTATAAAACAGAGTAAAATTTTCAAATAAGCCCAGAGAGAAAGCACAATGTTGGAAAGGATGGGGTACAAGGGAAGAAGAGAAAATATTTCATACAAAACTACCTATTACAATACAGAAAAAAGTATAAAACGTTCCTATTTTGGAACTTAAGTACAAAATGACACTGGCATTGGATCGTTCCACTATCTAGCCTGAGGAGCGCTCAGAGGGCGGGGGAGATGCTAGAAAGAACAAAAGGAATAGCAGTTTTTTTAGTCTCAAGTTGATCAGTCCAAATTCCACCCGTTTTCCAGTTGAAAATCTTTGCCTCCCTCTGTAACCTTGACCCCTAAGCCAAAGTTCATCCAGGCCTCAAAATATTGTTAGGAAGTCCACAAACACCCTCCACATAGGGGCTGGGATCTGTGCGTGCTAGAGCTAAAGCTGCAAAAAGGAAATAAATCTACAGGCTAAAGTGGTGAACACATTCAGCCTTTTAAAAAAACACATATCCCTGTGAAATATATATATATTTATATATATATATTAAATTCTCTGTGGTTAGAAACCTATTTAGACTAACTAGCCACAGACCAAACTAGACCTGCATTCATCCCATGCTGGAATTTTACGCTAAAGACTGAGGTCCTTCTTCTTGGTCAGAAGTCGGCGGCAGTAAAAGTGGTGCCTTTGTTGCTCCACTAAACTGCTCCCTGGGTGGGTCTTCTCTGTATCCTGTGTTGTGAGCACATGCGAACCCCTGCTTTAAGGAAAGGCCTGCCTGGGACTTTGGGGTCCCCCCCCCGGGCTCATGTGTTCTGCCTCAGGCTGGGAGGAAGCTACAGATGACAAAACAGCCTTGTACAGAAGCAGATGGATCTCACAAGAGGCATATAAATAGGGAAGTCCTGGAGAAGGGACGTAAGCGTGTGACCCCAAGTCCAGTTTCCAGTCACTTTCCTGACAACACATCGTGAAAATCCTGCGTGTATGTGTGCGTGTATATGCTGGTGGTTTTCATCCCTACCTTTTTGCCCATGCCCTTTCCTACCTCTTAGTAAGGCCTAACAACAAGAGTTTATATGAAACCAAGAGTCTGTCCAAGCTTCTCTCGGCCCCCGAATTAGGGACTGAGTGAGGCTGGAGCCCTTTGAAAACAAGATGGCAGAACTGAAGAAGTGAAAAGCAGTCTCTCTCTTCAGCTTAGGGATGTCCCTCACCCCTTTCACAGCACCAAAGTTTCTTTGCAAAAATAGTATCTGAGATACAAAAGGAAAGGCAGATGTGCTTGTGAATGCATCTCGCCAGGGCCTGGTCCAGGATCAAGGGCTTTACAAGAACAGAGGGGTGGGAGCAGCTGTTTCCAAGGTCTCTGGCTGTAGACAACAAAGAGCTGGTCCCCCACAAGGTCAGTGTCGGCTAACTGAGACAGTCTTCACAAAAGCTTTCGGTGGAGAATCTCCCAGACCATCCGCTTCCGGAAGTATGGCATGTGTTGCTGTAGGGACACAGAGATACCCTTAATTTTTTCATTGCTTTTATCCAGACCCAACACTCCTTTCCTTCTCAAGGTTTTCAATTAAAATAGCTTCAGTTGCATTTCTGGTCTTTCAAATTGCTCAATTCTTGATTACATGTAATTTTTTTCTATTGCTATCTCTACTGCTATTTTCTCTTGTTGTAGCCTTACAAACTTTATTGGGCATCACCAGGAGTCCCCAGGCTACACCCAAATGTCTCCAAGAATTTTGAGGATGGTGTCTATCAAGTCCTCTATGTTGAACTTTTAAGACGATGGGAGATCTAAGGCCTGAAAATCAAAAACTTACTTTTAGGGAAAGAGTTATAGAACTGCAAGAGTCAGCTCTACCCAAGGGCTATGGTGGAAAAGTCTGGTAAAGCCATTAATTTAAAGTACAGGACACAAACCATAATCTCCAGTCTCAATCCACTTTGGTCTCTGAAGGACCACATGGACAGAAATAAACAATCACAAACTAATAGGAGACTGATGAGCTGCATCAAGTGAGGGGCAGGGGAGGAGGGCAGCATGACAAATTACACTAGGAGTTCAAGGTGTAGCCTGTGCCAAAACCTGACTGCTAACAAGATGAAGAGAAAATGAAGAAAACTTGTTCTGGTCCCAGTTCTCTGTTTCTTACAGGCTTTGAGGTAGGTGCGGGGAGAGGGGCAGAGAAGAAGGCTCTGTTAATGACCAGGATTCGTTGACTGTAGCATGTGATGTAAGGGAACCCAGCATGTGGCCTATCACTATCCTTTTTCTTGTGATGTGGTCTACGTGGTAACCACCAGTGTTATGGGCCATAGGCAGAGTTCGCTAGGTAGAGCAGGTAGAGAAAAAAAAAATCTACCGGGCAGCCTAGAGACAGGGTGGTCCCAGGGCTCCTTCCCGAAGGCTCAGCTCACCTGTGTGAAGTTGATTGGTCTGTCTTTGGTAATGCAGTCAGCATATTTGCAAGCAAACATGCCACAGTCACTTCCATTCATCTGCTGTGGAATTTCCTGAAAGATCAAAAATAACAAAAAGGTGACATGTTTCCAAGCTTCCTTCCTTCATATTAGATTATAAATAAGAACCAAAGGATATAAATGTTACAGGTTTCCCTGAATTTTGAAGAAGTGACCCTAAGTCCCTCACCCAGAACAACACAGGCTCAGAGAAAAAAAATACAGCATCTCAGTCAGGTCTTCATATTAATATTAATCTTCGTATCAGGAGACTATCTTAGACTTCCATGACACCTAAAGATATAAAGACAAGTCCCTCCCATAAGGGCCAATCAGCAACCATTTCCCACAGGAGTGAAAAGCTCAGTAAAATAGCTGGGCATTCAGAAAACCTAGTTCTACATAAGAAACACATGACCAGTCTTCCCACAGACAGAGCTTACTCTATCTTCCCCTGAGGAACCAAACAACCAAGCTGAAGTCAGGCTAGACACTAAGAAGGTCCCTGGGAATCAAGCAATAAAACCCTATCCTTCCCAAATACCCTAATATCAGGATTTCCACCTGATGAGATGAAATGTACCTGGCTTTTCTTGCTGAAGAGCTGCCAGCCATTGGTGTCAAACTCTTTCCTTTTCTTATCAATGCTTTCTTGCTTCAGGTATTGCCTAAAGGTATTGGGAGAGAAGGAGATGAGCTGTGGGGACACTGATGACAGCTGCCACCCTAAGAATGAGGTTAACAATCCTTAGGAAGGGTTTGCATCTGCACTTCTGAGAAAAACAGTATATAATGCTGGGCGGGGAAATCTTTGGGCTGCTAAGCTTCCCCTGCAGCTCCCATAATTCATGCCCACCCTGTCAACCCAAGAGAAACAGGACCTCTGCCTCTGACACCCAGGTTCCTTCTACCTATTGTTCCTCCTGAGGAATGAGGTTTGATTCTTTTCCTTGGTTTATATGGTCCTTCAGAACTCGACCACATGGAAGAAGGTTTCTCTAGCAATATCAAGGCAGTTATTCACTATTTATAGTCTTGATTTTCCTGTGTGAAAATTCAATCCAAATCACAATTTGATGAGTGCATACCTCATACAGAGCACTCTTCTTAAGTGCAAACTGTTCGCCTCCTCCTGGCCACCAGAATGGTATAGTGGTACAGTGAGGAATAGGCATTTTGGAAAGACAAACAGATGGGGTATAAAGAGATTTGCATTCTGGTTCCCAGTTGAGCCACTAACTAGTAGGACCTGAGCATATCAAAGTCACCTCTGTGGGTCTTGGATCCTTCAGCTGAAAAATTAGGGAGGTTGGATTAGATGACTTTTAAGTAGTTTCTATATTATATGTACATATTGACTCATTCGTTATTTTAGTGCACTGGGACAACAGTTGTCCCCATGAGGGCATCTTTCTGGTATTATTATACATTTACTTACTCAGACATAAAATATCCATTCTTACCTCAGTGTGAAGATTTCCTTTATTAATCATAATCACTCCACTAAAGGTATCAAAGAACACAACATACACCCAACACCAAACTCTTTTGTTCTCAAGTCCCTACTTACAGGAGGATCCTGCAGGCTTCATTGTTTATCCCACCCATAGAGTCGTAATAGGTAATATTCTTCTTTCGAAAGTCCACAACCTGGGAATAAAAAAAATCTGTGTGTTCATAAAATAAGAAAAATAGTTTCTCAGCTTTCACTTCCCTGGAACTTGGAACCTTTTTTTTTTGTTTAAGATTTTATTTATTTATTTGAGAGAGAGAGACACAGCGAGAGAGGGAACACAAGCAGGGGGAGTGGGAGAGGGAGAAGCAGGCTTCCCTTGGAACAGGGAGCCCGATGCGGGGCTCAATCCCAGGACCCTGGGATCATGACCTGAGCCAAAGGCAGACGCTTAACAACTGAGCCACCCAGGCGCCCCAAACTTGGAACCTTTTGCCAGATTCCCTGTGAAATCATGACAAGTTTGACTGATACTTTGCATTATACCATGCTTAAACTGCAGAGGAAAGAACAAGGGGTTTATTTACATAGTACTATCATGGCCTCATTAATGGCCCTGAAATCTTTTTCTAGTATTTAGGTTCTCCATCTGCCATGTGGGCAGCAGTGAAGACACACATGCTCTTCAGAGACTGTAAGATGAATGAGATCATTTCCACAGGGTTTCAGAAAGATGGCAAAATATTCCGCATTTTGTTTCTTTATGTGGAGAATTTCTCTTTGGCTTTATGCTTTTCAAATATAATTCAAAACAGATTGTGATAGAACTTTTATATTTTTATTAATATATTAAATGAATGTATCCATGTTCTCAAAGAGTCATAAAAAATATTAAACTATCAAGTATGCAAGGCAAATCATAATTGGGCAGAAAATAAGTCACAGAATCTGAGTTGGCAGGATCATTAAGAAGTCACTTTTTCACCCCATGCCTTGCCTTGAGACTGTTTAGCCTTACAGCTCCCTTCTAAATATTTCCAGAAAAGGAAATTCCACAACTTTCTTCAAAGTCTAAGTATCTCCCACTCTTGACAGGAAGTTCACTGATCTATCCAATTTTTAGCCAACGAAATACTATTCTTTCTCACAATCACCCAGTGAAAATGTAGAATTACTACTCACTATTCTGTATAGTCTAAAATTCTGTAGATTTCTTTTAAATTTGATTAAAAGTAAGAGAGGTACTCACAGCAAGACACCAGTGCACTCCCAGGTGAATGGGCACCAAAAGAATGTCAACAGAAAATACATCCACTTTCTTTGTCCAACGTTTCACTGCCTGATAACCAGCCGTTTTTAACTTAGTGAAAAAAAAGGTATTAAATGCATGCACACTTGGCAATCCCTTCTCTTTACTTCGCTCCATCAACATATTCATGTAGAAATTGATTATCTGTGGGAAGAAATTAAATGTATTAAAAGATACTCAGTCCTTCCAAAAGTGTTGTGTCGTATGAAGGAAAAGCAGTTGCTGTGTTGCACAGCATATGTTATTGTTTCCTTATCAGTTAAGATTTCCACACCCCAGAGCCTCCTGCCCCTACATCAAGTTCTGGAGGCTTGAGGTGCTTGTAAACAGTGAAAACAGAAAAAGCTGATCTAGTTCTAGCTCTAGCTCTACAGATCTGTAGATATCTTATGGGGTTGAGGATCCATACGGGTGCATGCTCGTCTGATCTGTAGAAGACTAAGGATTAGGTCCAAAAATGAGGAGGAGGAGGAAGGGGTGCTAGAAGGCAAGACTTAGAGAAAAGGAAAGGAAGGAGCCAAGCAGTTTGACAGACACAGTAGAGGTACTTTAATCTACTGGGACTGGGTGAGCAACTGAAATAAATCCTGAGCTCACAGTCTAGTGTAATAAAGCAAAGACCAACAGTTCAGTTCTTATATGTGGGTCACCTGGTTGTGCACAGACGGAAAACTGTTCCATGACTAAAGACTGCCTTTTCAGCCTAATAAGTTGGCTTGCATTGGTGACCGGCTCTGGTCTCAAGTAGAACTGAGTGACAGGATAAACCATCAACTGTACTAGAAAAAACACCTCTCAACTGACTAGTAGCTCAGCACTGTCATCTCTGCAGAGGCAGACATGGATGTTGTATAAAAACCTACATTACATGAGACCTGAAAGTCCAGTCACAAACATGAAGAGTCAAGTTTTCCTCCAGAATCCATATGGTTAGCTTTCTCATTTTTGTTGATTCCATATATGCTTCCAATATCAAGTATGAGTCTAAGAAATTTAAACACTTGACACGGAAGATACAGGATTCTTCCTGTTAACGAAACAATGTATGCTCTAACAGTGACTATGTTGACTATGGTTCCCTTTAGGTCTGGGACTCCTTCGTACTAAAGCTTGACAGTTACTGGGCCGGAAGTTACCGCATACTTACTTCATGTGGCCAGCTGAGGCCAGGCCAGTGTCTGTCAACTGCAAGGAATGAATGGGCTAACTGATCCACAGCCTGGAAATATGACTAAGAAAACAGGCACATTTTTCAGAATGCTTTTTGGGGAATGGGAAAACGCCCCTGTCCTTTGACAAATATTTACACACTAGGATGCCAGAGCAGTGAGCTACTGCCCAACAGTAGGCAGCTACATACTGGGTAGGCAGCAGGGAACACTGCCAGGAACACACCGAAACATGGTCGAGACTAGAGAAAGGGCCTATAGATGAGGATGCCTCGGCAGCTGCAGGGAAACCACACTCGCCATGAAGCAGAGCTCTGAGGGTGGGGTTTGAGGGGTAGACTAGGACTGAAGAAAGACACTGTTCTGCCTGCATCTCTGAAGACTGAGCAAGAGGCCCAGCAGGTCCAGAGGACTTGGGTTGTGGCTGATCCTCTGCCTAGTGTGATGCCCAACAGATAAGTGGGCTCAGTTATTTTAAATAATAGTGAATCAAAACATAATTAGGGTCACAGATTTCTCAAACGGAGGTTTTCAATCTAACTCTGTCCCCAAGGGTAATGGTGCCAAAGGACGATTCTAGGCTTGTGAAAGGCAGCCAGGAATGCAGGAAGATCTGCCCAAAAAGCACAGATTTCTAGGCTATAAAACTACATTTTCTAGTGAGAGAAAAACTGCAAGAAGGGATTGATTCCTCTGGTATTCTACTCATCCCACAATATTAGCCATGTTATGAGGCTAAACCCTTTAATCCAAGGGGTGAAGTGAACAGGCAGATGACCTATCAGTCACTGTAAGCCAAACCGTCCATGGGGCAAACAAAAGTCATACACTGTAAAAGGCAATACGGACTCAAGCAGAAAGTGGAAAGAATCAGGCAGAAAGATAAAGACAGCCAAGCACATGAAAGCCATGGAGATGTATCTCCTTTAGGTGCCCTTCAGAGGGGCATCACCTTTAGGATCATTACCCTGAAGTAAAAAAAGAGGACATAAAGGAGTATCATGCTACCCATGATTTTCCTGTTTTAGGAGGAAAGAGTTCCGGAAGCCAACAAAGTGAGACTTACACAGCCCGGCTTGTTTGGTTTCTTATTTTTATGTTTTTATTTTGAGAGTGTGGACCATAAAGCTAAAGACCAACCCAGCTTAAGGAGAACGGAGACCTGATGATCAGGATACACATTATCTATTTCCTTTGAGAATCCCTCTTCCATCGCTTTAGTTCTGCCTCCAACCAAGGTTTCTCCACTGCCAGGGAAATGGCCTCCTCCAAAGTCAGCTTGTTAATTAGCTCTAAGGAGTGATCTGGGCTCTTTTTCATTTCCTCCATATCCCAGTAGGAGGGAGCTTGGTGGCCTCAATGTTCTCCCCATTAGCTGAGGATGTACAATCTGACATCTGAGGCAGAACCGAGATCCCAGTTTCCTCAGTTTTGCAGCTATTACTCTGTCCAAATGAGGAAAATTGCCATAGTTCGACCAAGACACAGTCCTACCAAGAAAACAAGCTAGGAGTTAAGAGAACAAAAAGAATCGTACATGTCATCTCACAGAGGAGGGTTGAAGATGAAGGAAAAAGACATGAGAGAAGGGATCACAGTGCTTAAGATGAAAGAGAAGCAGTGACTGGCATTTGCTTGTATTTTGTGAAGACAAGGGTCCCTCTCCTCCCACAGGGAGAGCCTTTCTGCACACAAGACTCTCTTAGCTCCAAAAGATCTTAAATTCCCCTTCAAATAGGGGGCTAAAAGTAGTCAGTCAGCCCTGTGCTACTGTTTGTCTTGCCAATATACCAGCATCTGGGGACAACTGCCAGTGTTGGTCCACCTGTCCCTCTTTCTGGGGCCCACACTTGTCTGTCAGCTTTGCCACAGCTCCAGGGCCTCAGGAGCTGCCCTTCCTGCTGCCTTCACAGCCTTGGCCAGGAGCGCCTGCTTGTCTATGCAGTGCTTTTTTTTTTGGAGGTGGGGGGGGGGGGAGACTGTTGTTTATGGTGTCTTGTTCCTCTGTGATTGTATTTGAAGAGCTGCCAGGCTGAAGCTGGAAAAGCTTCTCTTTAAAAGAAAAGCCTACGTTTTTAAACTAAGGCCTCAGTCCTTTTCCTGCATGTTACCACAATGACATAAATGACCACTGCTCTTTGTATCTTCCTTCTCACCCAGTAAACCGGCCAAACTACTGTCTTCTCATCCTTTTAGAAGTAAAATATCTCACTAACAGTAAAATCTTAACTTTTAACCCTTCCCGATTTTACACTCTGAACCTTTATTTTTTTTAAAGATTTATTTTTATTTTATTTGAGAGAGAGAGAGAAAAAGAGGAGAGCGTGCCCACGAATGGGGGGGAAGGGCAGAGGGAGGGAATCTTCAAAAGACTCCCCGCTGAGCATGGAGCCTGATGCCGCTACTGGATCTCAGAGCCCTGAGAGCACCAACCTGAGCCAAAACCAAGAAATCAGACTCTTAACTGACTGAGCCACCCAGGCGCCCCTAAACCCTTCTAATTGGCTCTGGGGAAAAAAAATGTTCTGAAAGTCATGGGTATAACAGTGCTCCTAAGTAGAAACCAAGACAAGTTTCAGGGGGGAAAAAGCCATTTTTCCTGTTTTACTTCTCTATGTTTTCACCTTAACCTCCCTGTCCTGATTTTTAAATTAAATCTATCCTTGTTGACCACAAAGCCCAAAAGACCAGCCAAGCAACAGCACTTAAATACTAGGAGTCAGAAGATCATTCACTCCTCTAAGATCTAACCTAATTAATATAGAAGGTAGACTTCAGGTAAGTTCTGTGTATTGCATCTCTCACTGTGAACATGTCCCCAGGATTCTTCTCACATGCAAATTCAAGTATCAAATTATCAGAATCACTGCTAAAGTTTTAGACAAAGACAGGCAGGCAACACCTATTTTTATGGAGTTGTGACAACTGTAACTACTATTCTCCCTGTGACCCTGCATAAATCCCTGATTTATCAAAAGGACTGGTTCTGTTAAGAAACACTCTAAAGAGGTAACTATAATGATGTGGAATCTACCAGTGAGTCATGTTAGAAACACTAAAATTTCCATTGCGATCATTTTATTCGACATGTAAGAGTGCATGGCATATGGTAGACACATCATATTCACTTAACTAATTTATCTCATTTTGCCTAGTTTTCCCCCCCTTCTTATGGAATCAGTTTTTATTCCCTAAAGAAAACTTATTCCCTTTGCTAGGCTTGTCTAGTTGGGCTTAATGTTCTGCAAGCTGTTTCCTCTCTTCACTGAGCATTACTTAAATTTAATGGCTCCTTGGAAACAACCAGAAAGCTATGACCACTACCAATTCCCCATTTCCACTTTTATTATGAAAGAATGCTAGACAGAGTTATGTGCTCTGATTTCAGATGCTGATTCCACAATAAAAATCAGATGACCTTGGTATATCCCTTCAGTCTTCATACTTCCCCACTATCAATCAAGTAAGAATACCTTCTCTGTACACAAGGCTATTGTGATGCAGAATAGCTGAAAGACACCTCTTTCCTTTCAGAGATGAGACTTACAAAATCGGTAACTGGTCTGCCTAGTTAGCTTGGTCATCAGTGTAGTCAGTCTGCTAACAGAGATTCCACTTTATTTCCTCCTGCATGCCCTCACTCCCCACATATGCTATTAGTCTCTTCCTTACGGTGTTTCCCTAGCTAGGAAAAAGTCAGAAATACGTATTCCAACAGTCTAATGCTTTTTTGCATTTTGGAAACAACTGACAATAATTAACAAGGGTTGGGGCGCCTGGGTGGCTCAGTCGTTAAGCGTCTGCCTTCGGCTCAGGTCACGATCCCAGGGTCCTGGGATCGAGCCCCACATCGGGATCCCTGCTCCGCGGGAAGCCTGCTTCTCCCTCTCCCACTCCCCCGCTTGTGTTCCTGCTCTCACTAACTCTCTCTTTGTCAAGTAAATAAATAAAATCTTTAAAAAAAATAATAATTAA